CCGGTGGAGTTCGCGTGGTCTGGCTGCGAGCTTCCCCGAAGCCCCGTGCTGACCAACCCTGACATACCATGGGTAGCAACCTCACTCAATGAAAGGATGGTCACCACAGAAAGAAAGTCCTGGTCCCTCCTGAATAAATTAAATGGCCTGACAAATATAGAGTTGTGAAAGCAAATGGTGAGTGGCTGTGGTTTGTTCATGTGTAGGAAAAAGGAGGTTGCAGTTTTCAGCAATTCTGTCCTGGGAAGATCTCCAGGGTGCAGGAGGGATTCTTGGAGTTGCACCCAACCACACTGGGCATCTTATTTGCCCCTCCCAGGATAGCTCACACATTGTAGTATGAATGTTACCTGTTGTGCTTCAGGGCTTCTACCAGCAGACCATCGGCTGTTTTGAAGAGATGCTGCAGGCTTTACTCTTGGAGAACCCACACCCCAATGAACTCAAACATATGATGGAGGTATGCAGAAAGGGTTGTAAGGAGAGGGAACTATGCAAAGGAAAGCTGATGCATAAAGTGTGACCCTCTGGGAGTTGTTAGACTATCTCCAGAGCATTCCAGGACATGGGGGTTGGGAGGGGTCTTCGGCAGCCACTTTGTTTTAGCTAGTCAAGGGTCAAGGCCTGCACCCAGGGCTGGATCTCGACATGTTGGCACCAGGCACAGTCATATTCTGGCACCCCCTGTGGTTTGGCTCATCTTCTGATTTTGTTGGGAATTTCAAGAAGGCCCTTCTTGTTTCTTTTTTTCTTCTAGTTATGATTATGATTTTCAGCCCAGGACAATTTTTTTTCCCTCGGGCATTTTCACCCTATTTACGCTGTGAAATTACATTTAACCCTCGAGCGGGTGCACTAGCTCACAGAGAGCTTTTCGCTTTTTTATTGTGTTTTTCAGAAGTCCTTTCAATTTTGCCACCCCCTAAAATTTGGTGCCCCTAGGCCTACTCAGCCTTAGCTTAGAGCCGGCCTGCGTGCCACATGTAACAGCCACGTTTTCCTGTCTGCCTTTCTTTCGACAGCTTATAGAACCATGGATGATATCAAAGTTAAATCATGTGCGTGAAAGAGCTGTGGAGACGGCAATGAAGCTCTTGAAGTTTGTAGCTGAACGTTTCCATCTGGACGTGAGTATCCCTAAATCTACTGCCTGCCTCCCTAAATGGAGCTTCCCTTCCTTAAGTGCTGGCTAGGGCTAGAGTTTCTCTTAATGTGGTACAGAATACAGACAGAACTGCATTTGTTTTTCCCACAAAAACTGTTTTATTTTATTGTACAAAATTAAACTCATACTCCTTACTTCTAAAGTCAATGCTAATACTATGTTTGTTTCTATTTTCCTATCTACTATCTTCCTATTACTATAAGCTTACAACTATTTCTATCTTATTTAATCTATAAATTTCTATCTCTGTGCCTACTCACTCTGGGGGATGAGTTCACTTTTCCACCGCTAGGAGGCAGCAGGAGGTGCCCGACTTCCATAGTCCTGCTATAGTGCAGCCATGTTTCCCCAAACAAAGTAAGGGCATCTTGTTTGTTTGTTTGCTATTTATTGCCACAACTTTTAACCCCAACTTCTGGAAAGCCTGCCCTTGAGTCTTTGGGAGACTGAAGATAAGACACGCTGGTTCTTCCAGCATCCGGCCAGGGGCGCCTTTGCACAAATCCCACTTGTGCGCCAATTGTGCCCATTCCTGGACCGGGAGGCCTTGCTCATAGTCACTCATGCCTTAGTCACCTCCTGCTTGGATTATTGCAACATGCTGTACTTGGGGCTACCCTTGAAGACCATCCGGAAGCTGCACATGGCCCAGAATGCAGTGGCATGAGCAGTTTTGGATGCCTCATGGCTCACCCAAGTAATGACACTGCTGTGTGAGCTGTACTGGCTCCCAGTTGCTTTCCAGGTGCGATTCAACGTGCCTAACCCTAGCCCTAACCTTTAAAGCTCTACATGGCACAGGGCCAGGTTATTTGCAGGACTACATCTCCCCGAGGATATCTGCCCATCCTACTAGGTTAGATAGGGTGGGCACGCTCCAGGTCCCCTCCCTTAGATGTTGCCACCTGATGGGACCTTGGAGGCATGCCTTCTCTGTGGCGGCCCCGGCCCACAGAATAGCCTCCCACCTGAGATCCAAGAGATCCTTACCCTTTTAGCTTTCTGGAGAGCCATGAAGACCTGGCTGTTCCCCAAGCATTGGGTTAGGGTGGGGGTTGAGCTGGGAGGTTGTTTGGTCTGGCCTACGGAGAAGGGTACTTTTGGTTTTAGCTATGTTGTTACAGATTGTTGTGAGCCAGCTAGAATCATTATATGAGAGAGGCAGCCATATAAGTCCAATCAATCAATCAATCAATCAATGAGATGGCCATTCATGCACTGCCTCTGAGAAACAGAGGACATTTATTGAAGGAGCAGCACAGGCTCCAGTGTTGAGAGAGAAGGCAGATCACCTGCCAGGGTGGAATCAGTGCTCTCCGGACACCATTGTCTAAACCTGTTTCCCTCCCATCCACCACCCACCCAGCAGACTGAGGCACCTGGCCAATCTTGTCTGGGCTCAGAAACTATGCTGGATCAGGCCCAGTAAAGACTTGGATGGGAAACTGCAGAAATCAGAGCCAGGATTTCTGTTGGTTTTCATGGAGTTTGGGAGGTTTCTTAATGAAAAGCAAATGATAAGCCAATTTCAGTTTTATGAGTTTCTTGTTTCAGTAAACTCATGCCACTTCAATTTTATTCATTTGTGGTTAGGATTCTTATTTCAAACATTGCAAAGCAATTTATAATAATTACAAATGCAGGGTTGCAAATAAAAACAATCTGCAAAAAGACACATACTGTATTGTGGGGGGTTCATGACTGAAGGTCATTATGCAAAATTAAGCATGGCTTGGCATACCACAGATAGGAAGGTCTTCTCAAATTGCATGAGAAGGTTCTCCAAAGGCCCACCTCTATCCTGCAAAAAATATTTATTTATTTATTTATACCATACATACACACAAACACACACACACATACATACATACATACATACCATTTATAGGCTGCCCAATTCTCCCAGTGACTCTGGGCAACTTACAATTTAAAAAGTAAGAAAAGCACCAAAAAAAAAAAAAAGGAAAGATCATGAGCAGTTCGAAGACAAACATATAGACAAAGAAAAGCCCATCCGGCAGGGGTTCAACCACCACCCTGCCCCAAGGCCTGGGACAACAACTAGGTCTTCAATAGCTTCCTGAACATCATCAGGGTGGGAACCATCCAGATCTTTGGGAGGATAAAATTCCAGAGGGCAGGAACTGCAATTCCACTAGATGACACTGTTTAATTGAAGGGACCTCAAGTTCACCCACTCTGATAGATCTTACTGGATGGGCAGCACCCCTTCCAGTCGAGAAAAAATACTTCTGATGAGCCCCATTTAATGCATTGGCCAGCTATGTTGTGACATGGGAGCACTGGGGGTTTATAGTTTCTATCTAGGTAACAGAAGGATTGGCACCTCCATGAAGCAGACTGACTGCGTATCTGACTGCCAAGCCAGGTATCTGGGGAAGAATTTCAGGAGCGGTGTTGTGTGCATGCCCAATTCAGATTTCTTGAGATGTGAAGGCATCCCATTAATTGTCTTTCCCCTTTGAATCTGGCAAAAAAAAAACCCCACAAGATGGCCATAATTGCTGATGACAGGAAAATAAAATATGATCAAGGGCAGTGACTGCCCATGTGCTTCAGCTAGCAAGAAATGGAATTGGGTGGAGACGTGCCCAAAGTTGTGCCCCAGCAGCATCCTTGGATCCACACCAAAAGCTTGGTGTCTGTCTTGCTTCAGTGTGTGTAGACTGAGCTCTTTGCATCCTGTCTAATGTAGAACAGATCACAAACCATTCTTGTAGTTGAGACATCATGTTGACCTTTTGTCACAACTACCCAACCGTGCATGCTCCTGGAAAGTTTGCCAAGTGATGCTGTCAAGGAGGCAAAGTGCCTTACTTGACTTCATGAAGGCTCCAGTGGCAGAAATATTATTCTTCCCCTCCAAGCCAGCATGTGGGTGTTTTCTGATGGAAGTTTTAACATTTGCCAATCCAGCAACCCAGAAGTCTTGCCTGAAGACTTCCAGTACAGTCCATAGTGGGTGCTGTTGAACATGGCATTGGAAGGTTCTGGGCCTGTCCTAATGAAAGATAAGAATGGGCCTCACACAGGAGCTAGCTAAGGAACATCCACAAACACCTTCAGTCAATGATTCCCACTTTTCACTGTTATTTCTTTAGCTTTCTCGGGAGTTCAGCAAGCTGGCCCACCTGACAGCTGTTTTGATTGGTTTGTGCAATGACCCGGTGCCATGCATTAGTTCTTTTGCTGTGCAAGGAGTCAGCTGTCTCTATGAGCTCTTACTGCGCCGTAAAGGTGAGGTCTATAATACTGGAAATCTACACCTGTGTTTCTCTGCTGCTGTTCTGATAATATGTGTGGCAGATTCCACAGCTTGGTGCTCTGCGAGAAAACAACCAAGCTCAGAGCACCAAGAACCCAACAGTTCAACCCTGAGCTACATATATCCCCTTTTATTGAGATTCCACAGTAGCCCATCACAACCTTGTGAAAAAGGCCCTTCATTCAGAGATGTTTGTTTTCTAGGAT